ACACGAAGAACTTTTGGATCATTGAAAGGTCGTAGTATTTGTAAGTCATGTCGATTCCCTATTGAAATTACAGAAAATAATTTATGTAATGACTGTAATGAAGATAATAAAAATATTAAAATTCAAGATTTAGAAAAGCGATTGGATGAAATTGAGATTAAAATAGAATCAGATAGATACAAACAAAAAACTGATAAATATCAAGAATTGTTTATTTTAGTTAAAAAAATTTTTGATTTAATTACAAGTGAGACTAACAATGATATTTATAAAAATCTTATTTTATTATAAATAAATACAAAATAAAACAAATATATAAATTAAATTCATCTAAATAATCAGTGATTTTATTTAATTTTTTTATTACAATTTTTATAATTTCAAAATATTTAATATATTTGTATTTTACATAAATTTAATTAACGAAAAAGTAATAAAGAAGAAGATTTTTTAATTTCTTTTAATTCTCTATATTGTCTCATACTCTCACGATTGACGATATATTTGAAATATTCAGAATTTTCATAATTTTTAAGTTTAATGTTGGAATCGAATTTTGCAATTACAGAAGAATAATTCAAGTTTCTATCCTTAACTTCGTTGTAAATTAATTTAAAGTCATAACTATCTTTGATATCTGGATTTTTCCAATTCATGCGACGAAGAGTTTCATCTTCAACATCTATTTCAAATTGATGTTTTAATTCATTATATACGATAATTGAGTTATCATCATAATTTTTTGGTTTTGATTCGATATATGACATCACGGTATTTATTATGGTTTCGTCATCGAAAATATCATAATAAAAAATGTTTTGTAATGAATCGTATAATTCAGTGTTTATTGATTTGTTTTGTATATTATTTTTTTTCATGTTTATTTTTTTAAAGGATTTCATTTTTATCAAAAAAAATAATATATAAATATATTGAATCGATTGTAGAAATATAAAAACATTTATAATCATATTTATATTTAATTTTTATTTATAATAATTTTTTAAAGGTTTTATCGATTCTTATTTTGGCATAATGTTTTAATTTTATAATTTTTTTATTTAATATTCATAAATAATACGTATGTAAAAGCATAAATCATAAAAATAAATAAATAAATAAAATTAAATGAAAAAAGTCATGGTAGCTATTGAAACATATAGCAAGATTGAAATCATTCCTTCGATAAGGTTTGATTCACCATCCACGACAAACAATTTAAATACGAATGAACAAAC